GAGATAATTAGAGTGTTGAAAAACACTGAGGGAGCAAAAACTCTTGCGTCATTATACTCCATTTAGTTCTTACTTCCGAAGTTGTAATACATAAACATAAAAACTAAACAATCTCTGTTCCAATTCCATTCAACTACATTATCCCCACAACCACAACATCCACCACCACCAACCACAACATCCTCTACACCCCGCTACATCACCCCCATCACTACCATAACCGATCGCCCCACAACTATCAGCAGCATCTGCACAACCCCTTCTCATTCTACACCAGAAACATTGCCGTCAGGCCCACCAAAATCACCACCACTACCAGCACAGACATTCAATCCACAGGTTTTATAAATATGAAAATTCGATGGGGTATCCATACAGAAACCGGCAGCCATAATAAATTTCATTTGTTCTGAGGAGAATGGTTGAACTGACTTGCTTTCTCAGCTGGTTGATTTTGGTTTCATGGATGTTCCCGGCTTCCACTGAACGCTAACCCAATTTGTTCATTAATCTACATCTAAGGTTCCTAGTCTAAATGAAACAACTGGCATTTATAAGGTAACACAACAACACGCCATTGATTTTCGCTAAAATTGCGAAATTTGATTTTCAGAGTTCCCGGACTTCCCGGAACTCCCTTGGCGTATTTCTGGAACCTTTTCAGAATTGTTTTACAGTGGTGAGCGGGTTGGTGCACCAACGATCGACGTCCCTGTTCGGGAGCATAGGATAGGAATAAATTCAAGAATATATGTTCGGACCATTTACGCAGATATTTGCCCAAATTTTTGTGCGATAATCTGACAAAGTTAAACGAAACCTCAAAAATAGCAGACCTACTTCACCGTACTAATTGGTATTATCACTTGGGGATCTCAGTTATCAAGAGAAGTTGGAATCACTTAATACCAGGGTCCATTACATGCTGGAGAATAGTCTAAATAATCCAGCCCCGAATTATGCCACCAGGAAATGATAGATAGGTCCTGGGGAAGTAACTATGGTAGGGATTGCTGACCACCTTACGCAACACAATCTTTAACTTCAGACTTTTTTGTTCCGAATGGTACATCCCAAATAACACTCAACAAAAACAATTTTTTTACCGTTTTTCGAAATTCTATCCGGATTATCGCCCTTATTATTTGTTAAAATTGTTTGACGTTCTAACTCATGACGTCAACTGTCTGGCAGACTATCGCCATTCAAGAGACGACCACCGTCAAGATCGGTCACATTTTTTTCTCATTTTAGTAAACTCTGCATCATTGCAAGCCCGGGACTGTATAGCTCAGTGGACGCTTACGGCTGGCCCCCGGATCCATTCACTTGATTTGATATTTGTTGTTTATAATATTACGTGACACTCCAGGGACGCCTTTCCTAAAACCATACAACCACCCTATAACAATACCCCAATCACCAGCATGATTTTTCAACAAAACGGCTTCGGATTTAATGTTATCCGCTTATTTGGCTTTTTCAACTAAATCTAAAATTAAAATAATGATGACCAATGAATGTGACAACGCGTTTAAGGTCGGGACCTTATAGCCTCCCGGCCCAAAACTGAAATTCGGACACAATCCACACGAATAACAATCTTTAAAGCACGATTTACAAAAAACATGGGACGGTAAACCCCATTTCGTTTCGTTTCATTCGTTACATTTATCGACTATGTCATAGTCTTGCCGATCCTCTCTCAAGCCCAACTCTGGGACATCACTGGATCACAGCCTGGACAGTAATGGTGAACAGGTGTAACTATAGAACATCAAATTTAATCCCCGCACCAACAAAAACCACAGGTTGGATATGAAATTTATATAGCTTACAAATTGCGATGTTGGTAAAGGACGTTGGTCTGAACCCACTAGACTTGTCTTTGTAAAACACACGAATAACTGATTGTAGTAGTGAAAGGCTGTAGATAGTACGAGCCGTGAAAGGGGCGTCTTTATGGGTGACTAGTCTGTAAAAGGTAGATATTTAATAGATGATGAATACAATATCTTATAAAGATGTCATAGCCGATAGAGAAACGAGTATGAGAAAGGGTTTGAAACCCCCGTTTTTCGAGTCACCTGTCCGTGAAAGGTGGGCCTAAGCTCATTAAAAAAAGTGGGCCTAAGCCTATGAAGAAAAAAGAAAAAAGAGAAAGAAAAAAGAAAGGAGGGGGGGGGGGAGAAAAGAAAGAAGGAAGGAGAGGAAACAGGACAGGAGAAAGAGAAGATATGAAAAAAATGACTTTCCAACAACACAAAAAAGAAGTGTACTGCAAGGAAAGAACTTTATGAGTTTGACCTCATTATACCGAGAACCGTGTAATAATGATAGTGCTCTTAGGTCATTCTGTTATCTAATTGTATCAGGAAATAAAAAAAATTGCCTTCTTCTGCTTTCGTCTGAAATGCTTGGAAAATGGGTTTGCGGTTGTCAATTTTCAAAATTTTCGAGGGGGGAGACCCCCCTCCAGACCCCTTGGGCGCGCTCGTGACGCGCCAAAGGCGCGTACTTGTGTGACCCTTGGTCAATGACCTGACAGGTCCGGCACTGTATCCACCCTATTTCAAAGACAAAGTGCATGGTCCGTTTTTCGGCTGTCGCACAACAACTTTGATGGTCAAATTGATAGACTTCTTTAAGTCTATAAAAATAAGAATATTGGTGAATTAAAGGTAAATCTTCCAAACTCTTTTGTTTTAGAATATATATATTTCTTGTATCTTAACAAAGCATTGTTCAAATATTTCTGTCCCGATAATGTGGCAGGGCAACTTGATAAAAGAACACTTTCTGTCTACCAGCAGCTGCTTCAATATCACATGATACTTTCGGCACTGTCTTGTATCTTGGGTCAGTACATCCACCATTCAGCTTCAATCCAGTATTTTTGTGTCTTGCTGTACAATTTCTTCCTCGCGTTTGGTTTCATCAACTTATTATCAACTACAGTTCCAACCAATGCCATACAGTCCTCACCATACTGAACTGGAGATAACCTGTGACAATGCCAAGCCCACTGTATATCGAGTGGTGCTGGTAGAATTTCATTAGGATGTTTAGCTGCTAGTGGTAACCATAGGCTTAAATATCTATGAATTTGAAATCAAGAGTGCCCACAAGCTAAAAACGCGATATTTCGTACAACCACGAGCAATGATCCATGAATTCACGGTCCGACACCTGCCAATATCGAAAGGTACCGAGATCTTTGGCATATAAACATAAATTTTATGTTTTATCAAAGTGCTTTGGGGGTATTCGCGGGTTGTTACAATAATTATTTTCAATTTGACGTGATTTGACACTATATTGCAGCTTGACCGGGCATGATCAAATTACATTGTATATCAAATTTCAGACGTATTGTACTCCAATCCATCGCTGAGATATTAAACGCTTTAATCATACAGTCGTTATCGCTCTCACAAAGAAAACAAAGTTACATTAATTTTGAATAATGACACCATTACGAAAAATCCAAGTACTAACATACTTAGAGATGGGCGTAGGAGCCCGACCATTTTTCGGACAATGTAATGTATTTCCGTTCTTCGGAATAGCACAGAATGAGACCATATATCGTAGAAATATAACTGTATAACGTTTTGAATACTATAAAGCTTAAGAGGAGCTTTGTGTAAAACTCGTTTTAGTTAATGATTGATTCGTTATGAAAATTCGGGTGACAAAGAAAATTTTCAGGTAAATAGCCTCAGTCCATTTTTCAGGGATGGCTTGGCAACATTGTGGAGACTTTTGAATAACACTCCCGATGATGTACATTCAAATTACGTCAAATCCAAAATTGCCAAACGACGATGAAAAATTAACACAGAAAGGGAATTTGGGCTGCTAATTTATGAAATGTTCACATCTATTACATTTCAATAATCTTAGAAAAACACATTCTGTCAACTTATATCACGACACGATAAAAGTTGATGATATTACTATGCCCTTTAATTTCGTTAAGGTAAGTTAACAAAGTTGTCAAAAATTGAATAGTATTTCTATGAATAACTATTTGTCGATAACTGGCACAGTTGCCATTAGGCTACGGTGATCAACTATTTATCACCGATGGGGCTCCATACTTCATGAGTGTTATCAACAAACTGGTGGCCTTATTGTTAGTAGACACTGTCAATTTGTATCTTCATCTGTTAATGTTATAGCGCCATTGTCATAGCCCAATCCTCACATCTATTACGAATATTATCTTATTTACCAACACAAATTACCAATATTTTGTGCGTGAATTCATAATTCATACAATCGGACATCAAAGACTCGATCACCCAGCCCAGCTTTATCGCAGAATATTACAAATTTATGTGCCCTTGTTCGACCCTGAGCAACACCCCAATTGGGATGGTGTAGTGCTGCTCTGTTTCAGCACCAACCACGGCACGCCAATGCAGTGTGCTATGTGGGAAATGATGCCCGGGCAGCGGAGTTCAATTTCCACTCTTCGTCAAGAATCAAGGTGTACAACCATGGACCTTGGGCTATTATACATGTATTATAAGGTCCATTCCCCCATGATACACAACGTGTGCACGAAACATGGACTCTTTTAAGTCCCATACAAACGACTAGACTTTCTGTGCCAGTCCCGCCGTCCTACCCAACTGGCAAGCGAAAAGAATGATGAAAAAACCCAAGAAACTTTCGCAGCCAACAGGATTGAGTCGAGATATGGTTTAAAGTGAGCCAGCGCCTTCCTAACTGAATTCTTTTGCGGGATATTAGCCTATAAACGTCCTACTTCAAAGGGCAAAAAAATATGAACCAAACAAAAAGAATGTCGATTTTAAAGACCACCCAGTTTTAAATCGATTTCTCGATGTTTATGCAGGAAAGTCTATTGGCTACACTGTTTTATTAATTATCACTTTGATGTCCATGTTAATGCTAATTGAACCCCAGCTGTCCAGGTGTATACGTGTACGTATCATCCGAAAGACTATTACGGGCCTACGCTGATCCTGCGCCACTGGCAAAGAGGAACCGAGCTGAATAGGCCTAATACCGAAGAACTTTCTCTGCCAGTACCAGTAACATGATCGAACCCTGGATTAGCGAGCCCGCGCCTTGGTCTATAAAATGTATTGCTTGTCATTGGCTAGATGCTTTGGTTATATAAAGGGTGTCTGTCGCTATATTTATTATTATAAGGTCCATGTTATCAGTAAGAAGTTTTGGTAATACTAAAACTAAGCTGAGGGTCGTTACGATGACCGTCTGGTTGTCAATATCTACGAACTGAAAACACTGTGAACTCAACTGTAATTATAGAGTACTGAAATTTGTTTTGGCGGGAAACAGGCGGCAAGACGCATAAAGCCACGTGGTCCAAGACTTTCATACTATTGTGCAATCACATCACAGCCAAGGTATAACAAGTCGTACTGCCAACGTTTGCATAAACCTATTTAATAGTGTGTGTCTTTTGGCGCTATCATTATCACAGGTGATGATTGTCGTTTGAAGTTCAGCATAAGATAAAGTAATGTATTGGTAAAATAAAATTAAAGAACATATAACAGTCACTGATCGACCTTGTCTAGTAGGCCTGCAAATGTATAATTTATTAGAATTAAAGATATAACAAAATAATTCTAATATTAAATCAAAACAAGAAATCATACGTCCTATATACTATCTTTATTTATCCAAAAGTGTATATCCTTGTTTGATTATTCCTATCAAATTGATAAAAAAAAAATTAAAGTGATTTTATTTTCATTTTTAGGGCAAATTTGCTCCATTTTGGAGCATTTTTGTCTCAGTTAACTGTTATATGGGCATTACATGGGTATGTAGTATTTCATAAAGTCTTGCTTTGACCTCATCCTTTGAGTAGTTAATCCATTATAGGGTAGAATCATAGAATGTATGAGTGATCGTTAATACCTCACTAACTCTCCCCCATTAAGACAAATACGATCCATTATTTTATACTTTTTTGGACAGTTTCTTTTAATAATGGACACTTTTTTTTTAATAATGGATTTTTTTTTTATTAGCAAGAAGAGCAAACGAACAACAAAGAAATCTATGAATCATAATTTTATTGTAATATCGTAAACATTTTATTCCACCACCCGCTCGGCTACATAACAAATTTGTAAAACAACACTTTTTATGAGAAAAGTGTCACCATTGTGTGCTTTATCCTTTATCTGGAGATGGTGTGATGGGATGGGCATTCAAAGCGCGGGATGATGATATAGGCTTAATAATATGTGATATAACAATTAATGCTTTGCATCAATGAAATTGAATCACAATGTCATTGTATTAATTCATCATAAAAATTGATGTCGAACAGGGGGTTGGGTTGTCTACGATATCACCATTGGTGTGTATGGATATATGCCAAAATGACAATAGAGACCATGTATTTCTCAAAAAAATTTGTCTCAGGTACCGGGCAAACCCCCTCCTTCAAATATTCCTGGATCCGCGTCTATTCATTCGGATTGTGCAAAAACACAAGGCTTGTTTTTTTTGCCCAATCCAAATGAATAGACGCTTTCCCTTGCTAGTCCCTCTGTCCTGTTCCTCCAAAGAACTTTCTCGGTCAACAACAGTAGTGAGCAAGCACTGTAATCACTAAGCCAACATGGTTCCCATTATTTGATCGAAATTTTAGTAAGTAGGATGAGAAGTGAAATTATTATAAACACAAAATTTGATAACTATACTTAGAGAGTAAGAGTGAAATTGTGATTTGTAAATAAAAGTAATCTCAATGGTTTCTTATTTTAACAGGTAAAGATGGCAGGAGTGTTGAGTCCAAGAGAAACAGGAAGATTAATTGCTGAAACAAGTAAAGATGTTTCAATATGTACTGATGGTATCAAGAAGACAGCTCAATTGGTGAGTCTAAACTGGAAGTAGAACATGTTGGAATGCAGGGTGGGACGGTACTTGACATCTGATGATATATGGGCCATCCCTGATTTATGGCTTATTCAACAAACAATTTTTTTTCGCTAGAATGCTAGACACTTCACTCCTAGATTATGCATGAATGCCCACCTTCTCTATTGTAAATTTTTCTTTGGTGTGGGGGGGGGGGGGTTGATATCTGGGGCATGTTATGAAATTAATTGAGCACTGGTGGGGGCGTATGGGTGGAGACAAGTCAAGTTTGGCATGAAGTCTGGGGGTTTACCAGAGAATAGCCCCCCCCCCAATAATTTGGCCACAAGTACTCTTTTCTCCAGGTTATTGCGGCCCCTGGACCCTTGCCTATAAGGACCTAGGATGGAAGCCCCCCCCAATCAAGAATTGCTTCTGCCGGCCCTGTTATATTTGGAGCTAAAAAATGGGCAACAATGCTTTGCATTATTGTTTGTTTGACTTTATTTCAATGAATGTTTGAGAAATAAATACACTCAATGTGAGAGGGAAGGGACGAGGGGACACAAAATAGGAAATTCTCTCTTAAACCATACAGGTGTGTGTGTATATATAGACACCTGAATGGGATTAACACTGTTTCCGATATTATCTTTATTTGCTAATTTTGTATAAATTTGTAATATGCCTATCCTTCAATTATTTATCAAACAAGGGTTTTATTATTTACAAAAACCTCATGGTAGTAATTGGTGGCGTGTCTGCTTAATCAGTTTTAACTTAGTTATCTCCCTTTTCTCTTATAGGTTTTTGATCATGTGAAAAAAGATGCCTTTAGTGTGAAGTCGTGGAAAGAACATGAACTCAATCCTAAAACAATGGATAAAGCTGCTGTAGATTGGTAAGTTATGCTAGTTAAAAGGAAAAGAAAAACAACTGAAATTAACTGACAATATAAATGTTATGTAATTCAGACTCGTTATCATTCATTTATTTTGTATTTCTTTATTAAAATTAGAAACATGTATAGCAAATACATGCTACTGCTGGCCCTGCATCAGAGCTATTTAGTAATCAGTTTAGACATTTTCATTTGACTATGATCATCTGTTGAGGTAGGGTAAACTCTTTTGGGCTGTGCGGGCAGGGGCGGATCGGGCAATCAGCCAAAGGGCCGGTCGGACAAAAAATGAAAACAATAATGGGGGGGGGGGGTATTGGACCGGCCATGGAGCGATGATGATCATGTTGTATGTGGCCGGTGGGTGGAATGGGCTGGTATAATAGACTTTCTGGGGTGTGGGCCGGAATTCGGAATCCTGCATAATATGACGATATGATAATTTCACAAGTTGATGGTTGTAAATTACTTGCAGGTCAGGGTTTTGGCCTAAATTAATCGATTTATGAGATATATTATTTGACAGAGATTATAATCAGATATGCCACCAAATCGCGTATTTGGGGTTCATTTTTTTAAAAATTTTCAAAGGGGAGAGCCCCCGGCCCCCCCTTCTGGGCTCCGTGGTCAGTAAAAGGGGCCGCTCCGACACGGGAGCCCGGGCCGGTTCCCGTCCCCAATCCACCCCTGTGTGCGGGGCATCCTACTGTTTATGTGTTTATTGTTGTTGCTGTATTTTATTACTAATATACCAACAGTGCCACTGTATATTATTACCAGTATACCGATAGCACTACTGGAACTTACTTGAAATGATAGAAAAAAGTAGTTTAGAATGTTTTTATTATGTATACAGATGAATATTTTGCCTATACAAAGTTATTAATGGTGGAATGGAGTTATATTAAAAGATGACCCCAACTATAAATGTCTGACTTGCAAAATTTAAAACAGAAACTCTGCTTTCCTTCTCATATAGTGTTGTATGATTCACCTTAGGCCTACTGTGTGATTTGGGAGAAAGTAGGATATTTCAGTTGTAAATAGGTATACATGGAAATTAATGGTAAAATAACTTTTTCAGGGTTTTTCTTGCGGACACCTTAAATTTTTCGTTTTATTCTGATGATGAGACAAAGAAATATAGCGTGGAATATGGTGGAAAGAAACATACAGGTTACTGGTCATTGTGTGCCGCCATTAATAGAGCTTTAGATGTGAGTAAAATTATCTTCAATATCTGTATCATTGAATCATAGATTTAACTTTAAACATGAAATTCTAGATATATTTTTGTGCCAAAAAAATGATTATTCTAGTCCTATTTAAATCTCAGAGAGAGAGAGAGAGAGAGAGAGAGAGAGAGAGTGTTTAATGTCCACTCCACACAAACTAGATTATTTAGGAAATAACACATGGTTCAATTTTATTTCAATAATTCGCTTGCGCATCTGGGTTTTTAGCAGTGGGAGGAAAGCGGAGGACCTGGAGAAAACCCACAAGGTTGAACACGCAACCCTACCCCTTGTCATGTACAAGCCGAGAATCAAAAACAAATTAAAATACTGTAATAATCTACCTAAGATATACTCTTCAAAAAGTAGGGGATATCCAGAAACAATACTAAACTCTGGAAATGCACTGCTGTTTTTATTAGAAGTAACCTGTGTATGTCAATAACAGGCCAATTGCCTACACATGAACATAAACAGTTCATATGGGTGGCTTATCTGACGGCCCCATTTCACTCGCAAAGAGATACACTGTCAAAAGTGAAAATGGACGCTTTTGATTTTTGTCTTAATAATGAGTAATTGCTCCACCAATCCTCAGACATTCAGCAATTCGTCGTGGCATGCTCCTAATCAACCGTCCAATCTGGCCCACTCCTCTTGCAGTGCCACGGCCAATTCTTGCTGTGTTGACGGTTGACGTCGCCGAACACGTCTCCCAATCAAATTAAACGTAACACACTAAAGCAAAGATACGCTAAACAGTAAATCTTATGCAAGAACCGATAGGAAAGCAAACATGGATAGGATAAACGAGCAAGCGACAGTTTTCATCAACCTTTCCTTGAAGTGTCAAATTTGACAATGAACCCCTCCCACGTGTATGGCGCTATTGCGTGTCGCACATGCAGCTCAGTGGTTCTGTTGGGGCTATAAGTTCTTCATCTGTGAACATACTCTCAAAGCATGTCAAGTGTCCATGACTATTTATCATATCTCAACCTGCATAGGTATTTGCATTTCAATATCCCCTACTTTTTTTTGAAGAGTATATATTTTGTAATTTCAGGATGGCATTCCTATTACTGATCCTAATTATTATGCTTCTATTGGTCAAGAGAAACTAGCAAGTATTCTACGTTCAGATACAGACTATAATATACCTCTACTAGATAAACGTGTTGAAGTTTTACATGAAGCTGGTTCTGTTTTATTAAAGGTAAATAAGAAAGCTGCTACTAGCTCAATTACAATGGGGTATTGGGCCATGGCCCCAAAGCTTAATTGGCTGCAGCCTTCATTGGGTTGAAATATTTTCCCTTTTTGCCCACACATAAACCTTTATCAACAAATAGTTTTTAAAAAGTGAACATAATACTCAGGGTGATTTATTTGTTCTGTAAGAAAAAGACAGCAATTTTGATTTTTATACGTCCACATTATGCACATTCATAATGTGGACGTATATTGCCGTCGCCACAATTCTTAAGTGATCATCTTCAAACTTTACATACTTATTCCTTATATCCTAAGGATGATCCCTATTGTTTTTGGTGCATGCCCAACCCCCAGGGGCAGAGCCACACCCATTTTTTCTTTGCGTCTCTGTGAGTTGCCTACAGGCCAGGATTCTTAATGGATTGTCTTTGAACTTGGGATATGTTTTCCTTATAGCCTAAGGACGACAACTGCATGTCACAACCCCCCAGGGGCAGAGCCACACCCAATTTTTATGTTAATCGTTTACAGGCCGGAATTCTGAATGGATCAACTTGGTATTTGGCATATGTATTCCTTAGAGCCTAAGGGCATCAACTATTGATTTTGGTGAATGCCCCGACGCCCAGGGGCAGAGCAATGCCCTATTTTTGCCTTTAACGGACAAAGGCCACAATTCTGAATGGATTATCTTGGAACTTGGTGTACGTATTCCTTAGACCCTTAGGAAGGCAACTATTGATGTTGCCATTTCAATAACAGGATGCTTCCTATTTATATTGTTTCCATATCCAACCCCCATGGGCAGAGCCACGCCCAGTTTTTGTATTTATCGTCTACAGGCTGCAATTCTGAATGGATCATCTTGAAATGTTCCTTTTTTATTCCTTATACCATAAAGACAGCAACTATTTATTTTGATACTTGCCCCGACCTCCTGGGGCAGTGTCACACCCACTTTATTGTTAGTATTTTATCTGTAAATTTGGCAAAACAAACCTGACGCCTAGCCTTCTTTGCCTCTGATCATATTACAGCCATTTCATATTTCATTCTCTTCATTTTAAAAAGTACCATATCAATCAAAGCTGGAATGTGGACGTATATTGCAGCGTTAGCGATGCTCTTGTTTTATTTTATTATCACATTTTAGAAATATGATGGTAGCTTTATTAATTGTATAAAGCAATCAGAGAAGAGTGCTCAGAGTTTGTTGAAGTTAGTGGTTGAAGATTTTCCTGCCTATAGAGATGAAGCAGAATATAACGGTAAAAAAGGTTGGTAGAAATATGTTATAAAAATGTGGGCTGTCTTTTAAAGTTGGGACCCAAGGTGGCTAAGTGAGTAAGACGCCGGCTTGCTAGCCTGGAGGTCACAGGTTTGTTCTCAGTGGTGGCTGAAAAAATTCATCAGGATTGTTAGTAGTGCAGGACCAGAGGGCCTGAGAAAGACAGCTGTCAGTCTAGTCATTTGGATGGTACAAGAAAACAAGGTCCTGTGTACACATTGGAGTGCACGTAAAAGATCCCTTGGCAGTCGGAATTCGATATAAGAGTAGACTGTAGCGCAGCTGTCCAGACTAAATTCCGCTCATAGCACACTGTATGTATGATGTATGCCCGTCTTCATTAAACCAGTTGGAGCAGTAGGACATTAAATCCCATTTCATTTCATTTTCTTTTAAAGTTGACATGTTCAACATTATCATGTAAGAAATTTTGAGGGGGTAGAAGAGTTTATGTAAATTATGATTTTTAACATAACCCTGCAAGAAAAATGCTTAATCAATATTTGTAACCCAATCTTGATTTAACCAAATACATCAGAGTCTGAAAAGTAGGTTTTGTGGGATTTTAAGAAAGTGATTTCACAGTAATGGAAGAACTTTGACACAGCTAGTAGTCACAGCTACTAACCACAGATACCTGGAAAGTTTCCAGTGGAAACTGTTCTTTATAAAACTTTAAACTGCAAAGACATTTATCCTACAATTTATAAACCTTTTCAGTGGCTTTCTACAAACGTGCTCAGATATTGATAGCAGATGTATGGGGCTGTTGTGAAGGCCAAGGTTATGGAGAATTTAATGATATTGATACTATAACTATGTTTGCAGATTACAGGTAACACTAAATATACTTTATTACTAGAACTAATATTTTGTTATACTGTTTCTGTTAGCTTCTGAGATTTTTATGTCCAAATTGGCTTATTCTGCTACCTATAGACATAAACCCTGTTCTAATTCAGAGTCACTCAAAATTTATTGCAGTCTTTTTGCCCTTGTCGTTAAAACCTTATATTCACTTGCACAGGCCAGAGCTTTTGTATTTTTTTTTTCAAAATTCCTGGGATTGTTTTGACTAGTGATAGCATGAATCATTATGCTTTAATTATAATGTCACTAGATAAGTATTAAATGTCAATAAAAATGAGAAAACAAAGAAAAAGTCTGTGCATTACCATGTTTTTATTAAGCAGAGAATGAATAAAATCAAGGGAATGCACAGGCCTTTTATATTTTTCTCATTTTCTCTAATCTAGTGACAAGTCAATTCTTATTTTGAATTATCAGATATCCTCTCACAGTCTCATAAAAAAACTTTTTGACTTCAACAGAATCATTAGTAAGCTGAAACTCGACCGTGTATCTGTTATAACTCGTTTCTTCAGTTAGTTATTTATAAGGATAACTCACATATTTCATTTTTTGTGTCACTTCCCGTTTCTTCAAATCTTCATTATGCATCTATCTAGCAATGATCTCTGTGTTAAAATTATTTTGGAATATGATTAACTAGTTCTATCATTGTCCTTTAACTGCTGGTAGGCATGTTTCATTGCCTGGTAATCTATGTTTATTACAGAATTCCACAGTGCTTGGTCTATTTTGGTGCCTTAAAATATTCAGATGACTTACTTCAGACATTACACAAAGGTAATTTTTATGTAGATTCGTTAAACAGTTCTGATGAGTGTCGGGTGCTATAGGAACAAAGTAAGAAAGGCGGTGGCTCACTAACTGGTTAGATGCCAGTGTTCAAAGTGAAAGTGATAGTGGTTCAAGACGGAAGGCGTGGCAAAGAAAAAACATCTAAAGAGTGGTAGAGGAAGGGAGGGACTGACTGTGAATGACATATACTGAGCGCCATGGAAAACGCATCACTTTTTTTCCCAAATATTTTATTACTAGGTGGTTTTGTATGTATAATATTATGCAATATTATGAACTATTGTTTCACACAATGCTCCCAAACGCAAAAAATATCGGCCTGTGTGCACAAAAAAAAAATTGCACGAGATGCACATGAAAAACCCAATATTCACGTGCAACATTGTGTGTGAGCCCTTTAAAAGCATGTTTTCAACTTAATGTGCGATACATGAACTGTGAAAGGTCAGTCTGTCGTAATTTGTTGTTGGACGTGTAAAGGAATCGAGCTAGAGATGCCGATACTTACTGAAAATCAACGAAATGAAGCCATGGGAATGTCAAGGGCTGGCATGTCGACACGTGCTATTGCCAGACTCTTTAATTGTCATCAGTCCACTATTGTAAGGTTGGTGGAACGTGTTCGAGTTACTGGATCAACATGTGACCGTCAACGTCCTGGTCCACAACGCGTTGCAACCCAGACTCAAGACCGCTACATCCGGGTCACTCATCTGCGTGACAGATTCCGCCCAGCGACTCGAACAGGTGCAGCAGTCGTCGGAAGACAAGAACCAGTAAGTGCCAACACCGTAAGACGTCGTCTAAGTGAAGTAGGACTCCGTGCACAACGACCTTATGTTGGAGCTATCCTCAGGGATCATCACCGTCAGCGGCATTTGATATGGGCTCAAGGACACCAGACATGGAGAAGAGTAGACTGGCAAAGTGTGTTCTTCAGTGATGAGAGTCGCTTTCATCTTTATCACGCTGATGGCGGTCAACGTGTGTGGAGACGTCTTGGGGAACGTCTTGCAGACTGCTGCGTCTTCGAAACAAATCGATGGGGTGGGGGAAGTGTAATGGTGTGGGGAGGCTTCACATTTGCAGGGGTCGCATTAATGCTGTAGCCTACCGTGATGATGTCTTGCAGCCAATTGTTGTTCCGATGTTTCGAGTGCACCCACAACTTCAGCACTTCGAACAGGATAATGCACGTCCACGTTTTAGTATGGACTACCTGGCTGCTAACAACATCAATGTCTTGGACTGGCCAGCCATGTCTCCGGACATGGCACCGATAGAACATGTCTGGGATGAGATTGGACGCCGTCTGTATCGGAGACCACAGATGCACACCATTGCTGCTTTAGAAGCTGCTCTTCTCCAAGAATGGAACAATTTGCCCCAGGCCTTCTTTCAAACATTGGTAAATTCCATGCGACGTCGCTGCACAGCGTGCGTAAGAGCCCGTGGAGGACACACGCGCTACTGACATCTGTGTCGTACTTTTGGTTTTGACCCCTCTGACTTTGTACCGTTGATTACAGAGTAAACATCCATAAGTGTACAAATGTGTTGTTATTGATGTGTTCCCATTTGAATATTGTTCACAATAAGAAGCAAAATAAATAAGATATGTTTACAGGATCATTTTGTTAAGTGATGCGTTTTCCATGGCGCTCAGTATATGTGACTCAATAACATACTTTACGATTTAAAGCACATGTATTCCCCTAATTTGTTTTAGTGTTTTAATATTGTGTTCTTGTAAATAGAACCTCAGCGCAACATAATCATAACTTGGCTTATGAACACTTCCAAAGCACTAAAATATAAAGAATATGTTGTAATGAATACTTCTTTTTTAACTTTAGGTGTAAATATTGGAAATGGAGACAGGCAAGAAATGGAGATCAGAGGTTGTAGTATCTGGGCAACAGAGGTAATGTATTACTTTTTATAGTAAGAATTTTATCTACCGGTATAATAAATGTATTAAAATTCTTTGAAAGTAGCCTTTGTAGCATGATTTCGGTATCTGCTAAGAGTTTAAAGCTATTATTCAAAAATGAGTACATATCATTTTATTTTCAATGAATTTGTTTTCTTTGTATTAACCGTAGCTAATTAATTAATAATTATGCTTTTTTCTCTTTCTCTATACAGTTGATCTGTGAAGAAACAAAAAAGCTTTTAGCTGCTGATCCACAGACAGTCGATGCTGATATAAATGCTATTTTAGTAGATCATTATTTGTGGGATTACAGACGTGAGAAGGCAGATGAAATGAGAAATATTCCTTTCCACAAAACAAGATGCATCTACTATTGACGATTATGACAAATTCATCCATAGGCATGTTTGTTAAGGAAGGCAATTTTGATGTATCCGAAATTTTACATAAAATCCTGGTACCAATTTCTAATAAAAAGTCTTTTTTTTATCAATCAGCAATACACATTTAACCCAAATCAAACAATATGTAACTTATTTTTCAGCTGGATTACTTTTTTTAGTGGGGAAACTGCCAAAATGTGATCTAACAAAAGGACTTTTAGGGATATTGGTGTAGATATATAACCAGATATTTGACAAGCTTACTAAGATAAGAAGCACTAGATATTGTTTTATGGCCTTTAAGTAACTTCTGCACTCCTGTGGCCAAATTTAATTGTTAATTGGTTAATCGTTTTGCTTTCACTGTTCGATTTCTTTTCTTTCGTGCTTTTGCCGGATTTGGGAAAGCAGACCCCCTCCCATCCCCTTGCTCATAAGCCCATGAATTCTTTAATTATATCTTTGTGTATACACAAATGTATACATGCCACATTTTATGCAGGGTTTGAGTGTGTCTTCTGGGGTTTTTTTTCATTCCATCCTATTACCATGCCTAAATGTGTGTCATGTTCAACCCAAAAATAGCTATAAAATGCAGGGTTTGAGTGTGTCTTCTGGGTTTTTTTTTCATTCCATCCTATTACCATGCCTAAATGTGTGTCATGTTCAACCCAAAAATAGCTATAAAATGCCCTTAGTCTTTCCTTTGTAGGATGTTTTGATAAAATCGTTGCATTTACTGTAAATGGATGAGGTTACTGTTTCTAGACATAACCACTTTTTGGTAAACGAACAAGTACATTAATAAGAATTTTGTTTAAACTTTACAAGAGTAGAAAAATAGTATATTGAGACAGCAGTTAAAACCAAATTGATGCAACATACTGACTAAAAGACCCAAACCATTGATGTCACCTACAGATTAAAAGGATTAGGCCAAATTAAAATAATCTGTGTTTATGGTTACCTGACCCACCCAATCTTTTGAACTAAAACCATTGACCCTAAACTTCCTTTTTCATTTCTCAATTCCTATAACTGGACCTTGGCTTGATAGACAACTCCCAACACTGAAATTTCGGTATTATTTTCAAGAACCTTAATTTCGTCGGTTACATGGAGAGTGGAAACGGTCCCATTACATTTGCACCAGACCGACTTTTTCGCTGGTGAAAACGCATAGGTTATATTAGCATTGTGTTATCACGTAAAAGTCGCCAAAAAAGTATAATATACTAATTTGTTTCCTCCACTTAATTAATATGGTCACCACCCACGTGTGATATGCGTTTCAAGTGGGAAGCTGAATCATTGAAAGAATATTTTAATGCAAATGAGCTAACTAAATCCTCAAATTTTCAAACTGCGACCGATATTAATAACATTAATAAGAATGTACTGCAACTTGAAACAGTTTTAAAAACGGGCTAAACCCTATACTAGAATACTCAAGTAAAGAAAGAAAAATGCTAAACCATGGTTTGAAACGTCAGTGTACAAATGAGAAGACAAAACTGATTAAATCTAATAAGCGTGAATTCAAAGATGAATTACTTACTAAACTTGATGATTTGGCTAAAACAAACAAGATCAATCAATTCGTTTTGATCCCGAAACCGTAAAATCTCACTTCCGGGACTTGTGTAAAATAGATACAAATTCTACTGATTCTTTCGATAATAACTTTATGATTGATATCAAACGAAAACTGAAAGTTCCGTAATAAACAGGAACTTATTCTAATACGTGGAATGAACCTATTCATCGCAAGGTGGTTCACATTCACATTGCAAAATTAAAGAGTGAAAGATTAGACGGAATAAGCAATGAAATTATTTTAAAGGCTTAAAAGGCGCTTAAAGCCCGCATTTCACCTAAGTTAGTGGAAATATTTAATAGTTGCATGCATATCGATGGGTAGAAGGTTTTAAATACAGATGTGACGTCATCCTTTGATGTTGGTGCGCCATTATTTCAACTAATGGTACGGGCAATGTGCCAAGCCACAGGCACTTGAAGGGATTAAAATAAAACTTCTTACTACTGCTTGAAGAAGTTTTATTTTAATCCCTTCAAGTGCCTGTGTGCCAAGCGTACATTATTATACTAGTTGTAATATTGAACGCGTATGACGTATTTCATTGAAATGCACGTGGTGGAGAGTGTCTGTATTTTTTAAGTTGTTTAATGGTCTCGTGCCAGACATTGCGTAATATACAGATATTGCACTCGTACAATATCTTATTAAATATGTCTCGCACTCGACCATTAAACTACACATATTGGATATTGGACCAATCAATAAAGTCAAGTCACCGCAGAGTGCGAATGATTTTAGAGGTCTTATAACCAGTGACAGTTGTGGCTTTAGAAAACATTATAAAACCTCTAACAATATCTTAATTTTAAGAGCTTTAAGATAAGTGTTTCAAAGAGAAAAGATGTCATTATGTTTGTTTCAATGATTTTAATAAAGCTTTTGATAGAGTTTGGAGAGAACGTCTTTTCTACAAGCTATTAGATTTAGGTGCAAGTGGAAACGTTTATAATTAATGTTTTAAAATATGTTTTACTAGCAGGATACCCGGCTTCGCTCGGGGTTCATAACTCCGAAACCGGAAGTGGTAGACTAACGCCACCTGGCCTATGTTAATCCCCGGTCCAAGCTACCCCTATACCCCAAATTTCAGACTCGGGGCAGACCTAGTGTAGCCGCCAACCCCGAACAGACCGGCTTCGCTCGGGGATCATAACTCCGAAACCGGAAGTGGTAGACTAACGCCACCTGGCCTATGTTACTCCCCGGTCTTCGAGCTACCCCTATACCCCAAATTTCAGAGTCGGGGCTAGACCTTGTGTAGCCGCCAACCCCGAACAGACCGGCTTCGCTCGGGGGTCATAACTCCGAAACCGGAAGTGGTAGACTAACGCCACCTGGCCTATGTTACTCCCCGGTCCGAGCTACCCCTATACCCCAAATTTCAGACTCGGGGCAGATGTAGCCGCCAACCCCGAACAGACTTCGCTCGGGGGTCATAACTCCGAAACCGGAAGTGGTAGAATAACGCCACCTGGCCTATGTTATTCCCCGGTCCAAGCTACCCCTATACCCCAAATTTCAGACTCGGGGCAGACCTAGTGTAGCCGCCAACCCCGAACAGACCGGCTTCGCTCGGGAGTCATAACTCCGAAACCGGAAGTGGTAGACCAACGCCACCTGGCCTATGTTACTCCCCGGTCCGAGCTACCCCTATACCCCAAATTTCAGACTCGGGGCAGACCTAGTGTAGCCGCCAACCCCAAACAGACAGACAGACAGACAAACGACAGTCACAAATATATATATAGATAGATAGTAGCCAAATACAAGTCAAAGTTGGAAATACACTGAAGTGAAACGTTTATGAATAACCATAGTATTGACAAGCTCCCATAATTTTAAATCATTCTATTATGTCCCTAAATTAAATGATACTCCTATTCCTGCATTACTATATGTTGAAGATATTATTTTGTTATCAAACAAACCTCATTAAATATGGTTGATAAATATTGCGAGCGATGATCGAGAACTCAAAATTAACTTTAAAAAAAACACAGGTAATGATTTTTAATAAGTCAGGAAGAAAACTTTTTGACAAATTCAATATTAATGGAAACTGTCTAGAATTGTTCAAGAATACAAATACTTAGGGTGATTGTAGTTAAATTTGTACGATCTTCTGGTTCTTTAACCAGAGGCGTCGACAATTGAAACGAAGCATTCAAAGCATTTTTAGCCTTTTCAAATATTGATGTATCTTTGAAGATTAAATTCAAACTAGTTGATACCCTAGTCAAACCCATGTTTTTTTGGGGAAAAAAATCATTTGATTTACAATGTGATTGGGTATCTGAATTATCCGAAGGATATATGTGAGCTGTTGATCATCCATCAAGAAGATATTTATCCCGCTCATATTATGAACTTTGATTTTGAATCGTCTGATGAAGACTAACGAATAAACCTTATAATACCTATACGTGTCTCTTGTTTACTGTGGGGTTTTTAATTTACATTTCCAGATCTCCGCCCACAATATTCTTCGGCAAAAGTTTTAAAGTCATCACATTAAAACTAGTTTAGGTTTCAATAATAATGGACGCTGATAAATGTTGCAACGTTCATATGAAATGTTTAAACAGACAACAAATGCCATTTGCTAAGTCCTAATATTTGAATGCGTATTATTACAATTTAATATAAACTTTAAGAAATCTATATATAATAAATCTTATTCTATGTTTTTCTTGTTTATTATTGATGCTTTATCTCGTGTACATACCATGCAGTTGCGCAATTAATATTATACGGTCACGACAATAAAACATTTTAAGTTGGAAATAAACAATTTCAATGCATATTATGCTCTATTATATGGAATATCCTGGTTGTTATTTTCCAGCGTGTTGGATTTCGTAACATAGTTTGATTGCAAAACATGTAAGTCCTGATTGAATTGGAAATTACAGCCCAAGTTAAATTCTCTTTTCCATTGGTTAAATGAGGCACGTGACTGGATTGGAACGCATATAATAAGCTGCCGATACACGGCTACCTAAATTGAAGACGATTATTTATTTGATAAAATTAATGATAATATTTGTATTTTGAAATTGACAATGAAGATAAAACAGTAATAGGTGAAGATAGAAACAGACGGTGTCCATAGATATCAAGGTAACCATTTTGTAACTCTATTTATAACCAAACCAACCAGTTTACAGTGACATAACCCACTAAGCATTGACGTATAAATATATACAGTACTAGTAGTTGTACGGGTGACCACTAGTGTGGAAAGGAGTATAATCCATAGTTTGCATTTTTTGTTGTTTTTTGTGATATTGTGATCCGTATGGGCGGGTCTCTGGTTACAATATTATCATTGCATATATAGCAGACCTGATCTGTTGATTTGTCAATTAAAGCTGAGATTTCTCTTATAAACTTAAAATAGTAGGGCAATATGTCCTTCACCTCTCATTTTATTTGTCCTCTTTTAATTAGGGGCCACCTTTTAATAGTAAACTTTCCCAAACAGTAGTAAACCTTCCCCAAATACAATTTATTTTTTTCACCTTGCTGCAATTAACGAATTATTTATCTTTATTCCAGCTAGATTCAGTGAGTAGGCTACTAGAAAACTTGAGGTGTTTTCACTCTTGGTTGCATTCTCTGTTAAAGTTATCATCAGTTGCTATGCATTATGGGTTGCTCAGATCAATAAAATGAAGGATCTTTCTCTAATTTCAACAAATTCAATTAATATATTTTGAGTATGGCCCTTGATCACTGTGATAAATATGTACTGTCGTCTTATCAACCGGTACTCAGAATTTATATGCATTGTTTAAATTAGTGAAACAAATAAAGTTGATTCAATTTCAAAATTGCTGTTAATTTATTCTTGTGTTGTGGCCCTTTGGAAAATCATGTGAATTTTCTATCTTCAAAAGTTATCATCTGATCTGTTTGAAGTTGAAATCTATATAAACTGTTTCAATTAGTTAATAGTTTCTAGAATTATGGACCATGCTCACCTTAAGAAGTCTTTTAATTTATTCTTGTGTTGTGGCCCTTTTGAAAATCATGTAAATTCTCTATCTTCAAAAGTTATCATCTGATATGCTTGAAGTTGAAATCTACATAAACTGTTTAAATTAGTTAATTATTTCTAGAATTGTGGCCCATGTTCACCTTGAAAAGTCTTGTTGCCATCTTTTCTACTGGAAATTTATATGCCTTTTTAACTAGTAAAACGAAGAATTCTATTGAAATGAAAAATGAAATGAAATTGGGTTTAACGTCCTACTCTTCTGCACCTAACCTGGGCTAATTGAAGACGGGCATACGCCATACAGTGTGCTATGAGGGAAATTTTGCCTGGGCAGCGGCGCTACGGCCTACTCTTATATCGAATTCCAACTGCCAAGGGATCTTTTACGTGCACGCCAATGTGTAAAGGGGAGAGTTCTATTGAATATTTAATTAATTGACCAAGATTATGTCATATTTATGTGCTCATCTTGTTGAGGAACGAAGGATATTATAATTATACGATTGCTTTTTATCTAAAGATCCACAAAGCACAATCTTTGTGGACTGCTTGAACTATTTAATTGCTGTGTGTATACCCCCAAAAATAAATCTTTCTGCACAAAGGTTGCTCATATGTCCCCTGTGTCTTCCAGTGATGTATGTTTTACTGCCTGGCAAACTTTCTTCATACCAAAAAAGAAAAATGTTTCTGCACGAAGGTTGCTCGAACGTCCTTCATCTTCATTAACCCTGTTGGTACAGAACAGTAAAACCCATTTCATCTGCTCGAAGGTCCCCTGTCCTTTAGTGGCCAAAAAATAATGCATCTAAGTTAGAAGCAATGTCACCTTAAATACTTTAGTATTAAAAGATTCAGTACAGGGCTTTGAGCTTTCATTATAATTGTTTACAGGAGACCTTTAGATGGCAGATGCTGGCAATGGCAATATTATCAATATGGTTCCAAAAATTAAATCTTTTATTTTTTAGATGGCAAAGTCACCAAAAGATATACATTTCAGTGTTGATCTGAAAGAAGCAGCTGAAAATCAACTTAATTTTCTTCATGAAATAAGTTTACTACGGACACTTGAAGGAGGACCAGTATTGATTCAAGCAATTCATAGATATTTAAGCCTCTGGTTACCACTAGCAGCTAAACATCCTAATGAAATTCTACCAGCACCACTCGACATACAATGGGCATGGCATTGCCACATGTTATCTCCAGTTCAGTATGGTGAGGACTGTATGGCATTGGTTGGAACTGTAGTTGATAATAAGTTGATGAAACCAAATGAGAGGAAGAAGTTGTACAGCAAGACCCAAAAATACTGGATTGAAGCTTACCCAGATCACCCAATTGAAATTGATCTGAGCGGCGGATATATTGACCCAAGATACAAGACAGTGCCTAAAGTATCATATGATATTGAAGCAGCTGCTGGTAGACAGAAAGTGTTCTTTTATCAAGTTGCCCTGCCACATTATCGGGATTCCAAGTTTTTGAGCAATGCTTTGTTAAGATACAAGAAATATCTTTTTCTGAAACAAAAGAATCCAGGAGTTTTTCTTGTACCCTGTTATGATATTGATTTGATATGGCATTCTCACCAACTTCATCCAATAGCTTACCAGAAAGATACAAAAGCAATCTTAGGACGAATCTTTAATCATGACGATACTGTTAATGACAGAAATGAGGGATCAAAACTTTATAATGCTGATCTAGAGACCAGGCAGATTTGGAAAAACACATTTAATGAGAGTTTTTCGATGTATGGGGCCATGTACCGAGGGGATCCACCAATGGGAAAACTGAATGCCATGGGTCCAAATGACATTTGGCTTGTGAGTACAAAAATCGCAAATGTAACTATTGATTCCATCGAGCTTTCCTCTATTCCACCATCTGTTAAGAAGTTTAAAGTGAAAGTGTCTATGGCATCAAATCGTGCAGATAAAACTATGGTGGCAAGCTTGAAAGGACCCAAAACAGTTTGGAAGGACAAAGAACTGTCAAAATTTACTTTTAATTCAAGATACACGAATAATTTAAAGTTTAGGCTAGAAGAAGTTACAGGCTTCCTTTGTATGGGGAGTAGAATAACACTGGGTGAGAATGTTTATAATTTTCTGCCATTAGTGGAAGCCATGAGCAGTTCCAACAGAACATTTAATGCATGCATCGGGTTGGAACAGTCAGTCAATTTGACTTTTAACGGCACTATTCAGCCTTCTAAACTCGGACAATGCCTTTTGTCTCTGAAATCTGGTGGATACGAGAGATGTGTGATGCCAGAAGATATTGAATCTATGTGGGGCCCAGTTCCTTTGACTAAACTACCACCAGGAACAGATAACGTTTGTGAAGTAGCCTCACATCAGTAAGTATAATCCAGACAAACTACATTACCAGTAATTAATTTAACCTTTCAGTGAAAATTATTGTGTTAACTTCTGACAGATTGTGAACTACAATAATATTATTGAGGAAAGTTACAATATGTGAACTACAATATTAGTGTGAAAAGGTACAATCTTTCAAATAGCACAAGAATCATAATAACCACTCAAATCACTCAAAACTAGTTTGCTTATGCAACTTTCTTTATTAATTTATATATCATATGTAGGTGTATTTTGGTTTGTTATTAAATCATATGGGTTTTGGACATACATATAACTGCCCTGACCCAAAACAGCAAAGTAATTTGGCAGTTATAACCAAAATGTCTGGCCGTTTTGACTAAATTGTGGCCATTTTGACCAAAGTGAATTTTGGCTTTTAAGGTTTAGTGTCCTTATGACCACATCCTAATTGTGCTCAATATATTTGTGACCTTTCTTAAGACAATGAACAGCAAAGTGTATGACAATTTACATATGTCTCTTTACAGATTGCACAATCACAAGATGGAACTTTATTTCACAGCTCGTATTATTCACTGCCTGCCTTTGCTACAATCAGCTATTCATGTGTTTTACAAAGAAAAGATGACAGTGGTTGGTCATTTGGTAGGTTCAGATCAACTTCCTCTACCCTCATTGGTAAGTAAGCTTAATCCATGTATATATAGAAAGCAATGTCTCAAATAGGCCTGCAGCCAGAATTTCTAGTGTGAAGTTTCGTTACATGGTACCACCAACTACAATCTTCCACCTGTATAAAATAGATGAACATATGTTTTTTAAAAAATGTGATTAGTTCCAAGCAAATGCTCTAGTTACAATATCGTCGCGCTAAACTGTGTTTAGCACTACAATTGATACAGTCTAAGAGGCCTCACGCAAGTACAAATAGGTTCAAACGCACAATTGTCAACACATATCATTACAGTTTGTATTGAGAAATTCTATCAGAAATAGTGAAGACTGGACCCCTTAAATAGTTACCGAACCATTTTTCGTTGCTGTAACGCGTTCTACATTTTTGAAGCGATATTTCTTATAATGTACAAGCCGCCATGACACCACCCAGGTGAAATCTCGCCAAATATCGCATGTGTTAACTTCGCTGACACTGTTGGGAACTATGTTCAGGATGTCCGTTATCTCCCCCACGGTCTCCAACTGTAAAATCTCTGTCAGCTGCAAAGAGAGACATGAGACATGTGCCTAAGTTTCACTGTATAGTAAAATTGTAATGGCCTCCGAACTTCAGGGGGGGGGGGGGCGCGAATGGTTAGCGCGTGTGTGTTGTATTATAAGGTCTATCATTAAGTCAACTGGCGTGATTTCGATTCCCAGGTTGTACTTGACAAGGAGTAGGGTCGCCTGTCCAGCCTCGTGGGTTTTCTTCAGGTCATCCGGTTTCCTCCCACTGCTAAAAACCCCTACACGCAAGCGAATTATTGAAATAAAATTGAACCAGGTGTTAGTCCCAAAATGACCTGGTTTGTGTCGAGTGGACGTTAACCCCCATTTCTCTCTCTCTCTACCGAACTTCAGAGGCAAATAAAACTAATGGGTGGTCATCAAAAGTCAAATTAAGCTTATCTTGTGACTGGAACTAAACTCTCCAAATACATGTACATGTGGATCCGTCCCTTACACATAATAATGTATTTTAGGTGAAAAAGCCAGAACTGTGTATAACATTAAATCCAAGACTTGGTGAAAGAGCTGTTTTGTTGAAAAATCACGCTGGTGATTGGGGCATAGTTATTGGAAGATGGTATGGTTTTAAGAAAGGTGTTGCTGGAGTAACAGGTGATATTATTATTTCTTTTTTTAAAAAAAACAATCATTACAAACTTGGAGAGTGGGAAATACCAAAATGGAAGCTAATTATGTCATTATTTCAAACAATAAGGTGCCAGCATGCTGTGTCTATAGAAACAGTGCATGGTTCTTTTAGGACAAGTTTTGCATATGAATAAGCTAATAGCCTTGGATTGGAATTGAGTTTGGGCATTCACACACATAAATATGTCCATAGTCAGTTATTTTAGTACCTTTTGAAATAAATATGTGTTGTGGACACTTTAGAAGTCACAATTTTTATCCGATCTTGAAACATAAAATGTATGTTTATATCTTGGTTCCTTTCAATATTTGTGCATATTAGACCGTACATTCCGGGATTAAGGCCCCTGATTGTATCAAAAGTAGCATTTTGTTCTCTTAGCTTATTCTCTATCCAACTCCTGCAAATGTGGGCGTATCTTGTTTAGCAACCGCTGATTTTCCAACACATGATGAATGCCATGTCCAACATGATGATTGTGTTGAACTTGATTAAATTGAATTTTCAAGAAAGAACTTTTTATTTGCTGAAATATTTAATTGTACACTGGATTTATGTAAACCTAGGCGATTTCAAACACATTGATAAGTTTTTGATAACCATAGTTAGGGATTTTGCTCATAGGGACAAAAAACCCCAGACTATTCTGTAAGGTGGCTCAGGCAGTAAGTTTTGGGTAACTAGATTAAGTGTCATTTCTGTGATGTAGACATGTGTATACACTATAGTACGGAACATGTAATTAATGTGTGAATTAAACAAGTAGCTATTTGAGTGGACTGAGCTAGTAATCAATTTCTGAAAGCTAAAAACATGTCAGCCACAAGGAAGCATTTGCCCACTACTGGTTTTGATATATTTCATATTCGATCATCGTTTAAAGGAGCTAAGTCGCTAATATTTGGGAACTAGAAATTGACACAAATGGGTTGCAACGCATACAATAATGTAATATGAATGTATATAAATTTATTTACATTCAATCGTTTCTCGTTTTACTGTAATTTCTAATCAGTTAGTTTCGGCGAAATACTCCAGTATTCTCAATCGAATTTCAATCTCTAGCGTCTGGTTTTCCCAGTTTACGCTGATAGTATTTATTGGGCATGCTCTCCAGATAAGAATATAGCGTCACCATTTGACATGACTTGTGGAATATGCCTAGCCTCGTTTTTCGAGCCCCTTATTACAAATAACGCTGAAACGCATTATGGTACACGATTCGTGTACCAAATGTTAAATGTTTATTTTGTCTTAAATATTGGATATCAGAAGGTTATCTTTTCCCGGTAAGATCACAACATCAATGTTGATTTAAAGCGAAAAATAAATCGTGTTTTCAATGTCGCAGATTTTTGATGATATTGAGTTAAAGACTTAGCTACTTTCAGTGGCATTATTGTCCCCCGCCTTTCGAAGAAAAATCTGTCTGTCTGTCTGTCTGTCTGTCTGTCTGTCGTCCGTCCGTCCGTCCGTCTGTCACACTTTTTGGGTCACAATAACTCTCTTTCTAATTGAGCTAGAATGTTCAAATTTGGTGTAGGTGTTTATTAGGTCATTGCCTTGATGGGGTTCGAAGATGAGCATTTTCTACTTAGGGGAGGCAGAGATAGTCAATTTGATTGGTTGATGCTTTGGGGCACGATAACTTTAGTTCTAATTAAGTGAGAGTGATGAAACTTGGTGTATAGTTTCATTACATCAATACCTTGACTAAGTTTGATAATGAGCATTTTCTGCTCAGGGTAAGCAGAGAGATAAGCAATTTAATTCGTCGAAACACAATAACTCTCCTTCTAATTGAGGTAGAATGTTCAAACTTGGTGTAGGCGTTCATTAGGTGAATGCCTTGATTGAGTTCGATGATGAACATTGTCTGCTTAAGGTAAGCAGAGATAAGCATTCTGATTGGTTGATGCTTTGGGGCACGATAACTTTGGTTATAATGAAGTGAGACTCTGAATATAGATTCATTATATCATTACCGTGACTAAGTTTGATGGTAAGAATTTTCTGCTTAGGCTAAGGAGCGATAAGCAATTTGATTGTTAAAGACTTTGGAACATAACAACTCTGCTTTTAATTGAGGTAGAATGTTTAAACTTGATGTAGATGTTCACGAGCTGAAGCTAAGCAGAGCTAATCAATTTCATTGGTCGATGCTTTGGGACAAGATAATCTTGATTCTATCTGATAGAGAGTGATGAAACTTGGTGTATAGTTTGATTGCTCGACACCTTTGAAAAAAATAAATGTGCGATTAATTAATATGTGTCATCTTTTTATTTTGGGATTTCGGCGGGGGACATCAGCCTCACTGTTGGCTTGTTGTTTGTGTTTTACGATGTTACATACAGCTACTACATTGTAGTGATCTCTTGTTTATTTCTAGGAACCCGCGGCAAAAAAGGTGTAAGAGGGATACCTGGAAATCCAGGAACTCTGAAAATCAAGTTCCTTAAATTTCGAGAAAATCGTTGGAATGAGGTTATTTTACCCTATAATCAGCAGTCTTTTTCTTTCCATCTTGGACCCTTGACCCTGGACTTGAAGAGAGGACTTATTGGTATTGCTGGTGGTGAGAATGAAATTGCTGAACATATTGGTTTAGCGTTCAGTGTATCATTGTTGCATGTTTTGTGTCAGCCAAGGCCATCAGGATGGAAACCTGGAACCTCAATAAAACCAAAAACAACTAGCCGAGGAAGCAGAGCAATTCAGCCTTGCCCTTCGGAAGATATGGCATTTATTATGGCAGCAGGTTTTTTAATGAGCACTCCTTCAAATTATCATATCTCTACGACCTATGGATTGAATGCCTGTGCAGGTTGTGGTGGTGGTTTTGGAGGGGCTGTTGGTGATGTGTCTGGTGTGGATTGTGGAGATGGTGGTGTTGAGGGTGCTGGTGTGGATTCTTGTGGAGAGATTGGTGATGTAGGGGGTGGTGATGGAGGTGGAGGTGCTGCAGGTGGCTGCGGTGGTTGCGGTGGTTGTGGTGGCTGTGGTGGTGGTTGCGGTGGTGGTTGCGGTGGTGGATGTGGAGGTGGTTGCGGGGGTGGTTGCGGTGGTGGTTGTGGTGGTGGATGAGTTCACAATGTACTCAACAGACATTGAAAATATATTTCATATTTTTTACATCATGAAGCAATTTGGACTAATTTGCATACCAAAATCTGGAAACACTGTTTATGTACAATCAAGGACATTCAGAGTGAACTTAACAAAACAACTTTACCCATAGACAATCCATGCAGTGTTCTGATGAATGGTAGTCAAAATCTATACCTCCTGAAAAGTATCAGCTATTCTGGATTATTTTTTTTAGAATAATACACATTATCTGTAGTTAACAACATATTAACATTATCTGTAGTTAACAACATATTACATGTACATCCATTTCAGAATAATATTTAACAGGTGATTACCTTAATTATATGGAGCAATTAATATTTTTATACGCCCATATTTTCATGTTTTACGTATATTGTCGTCGGCCCTGTCCGTCCGTCTGTCCACAATTTGTTTGTGGACACTCTACAGGTCACAATTTTTATTCGATTTTGACGAAACTTAAGATAAACTTAAGATCTCCCAAAGCTCTTGGTTCCTTTCGATATTGGGATATATCGGACCATAACTTCATGGATTATGGCCCCTGATTGTATGAAAAATCACATTTTTAGCTTGTGGACACTCTGAATTATGGTCCTTGATTGTACGAAATATCGTGTTTTTAGCTTGAAGTTCCTCAAGATGTCACAATTTTTATCTGATTGAAAATAACGTTTGAATATTTCACTGTTACGCCCTAATGCTGGCTGAGTTTGAATTTCATGAAAATCGGACCAAAACTGCCAGACAAAATGGCCGCCCTCATACGCAAATAGTGTAAATATATGGTATATCAAGGTTGTGGACCCTTTAGAAGTCACAATGTTGATCCCATTTTGATGAAACTTGAAAAATATCTTAATAACCCAAAGATCTTGGGTCTTGTCGATATTCACACATATCGGATCGTGACTTCCTGAACTATGGCCCTTGATTGTATGAAAAATCGCTTTTTGTTTAGCCTGTTCTCTATCCATCTCTTTCAAAATGTGGGCGTATCTTGCATTGCAACCACATGTTATGTTTCTTATAGTATGTTATATACATGTACATGTAAATCACATACTTTATAATTTCTTAAATGACTAGACCTCTTTAATCTTTTAACACTAAAACTGTCGATTTCATTGGATTTTATGTGTTGATTTGCTTTGAGGGATGACAACCTGTTTTTAATCCAAATTTTGCAACCATGGATAAAGCCAAAGTTGAGAGGTAATAAATTACATGTTCCCTGTCAACACAGTAAGACACAAAAATGGAATTAAAATTAGTGAACAAGCCAACTTCATCTTAGTTTTTCAAAACAAAATTTTAATAGTGTAAAGCATGTCCAATCCCTAAATGAATAACAGATCAATCAACACAATTCAATACTTTATTTTGACAGATATCAATGAGATCATGTTTAATGGATCAATATGCCTGTGCCTCATAAATGCTATTTTTAAGAGATAAACATGTAAAACTACATTTTGTAAAGTACAGATTATATTTTCTTAACTTTTGTAAATTACCAGGTATTCAATATGTTACTGTTAATGCCACATTATTATTTTACATTAAAGATGTTTTATTAATTGACCTGTTCATAATGTGGTGTTATGTATAAATTGTAAATTACCAGGTATTCAGTATGTCACTGTTAATGCCACATTATTATTTTACATTAAAGATGTTTTATTAAACATGCATTATGCAAGAGCTAAATCTGATTATTGCAAGTCTTAATTTAGGCTTCAGATGTTATAGAAATTATTAATTAGATCTTTATTTAAACAACAAGACCAAAATCAACTCTGTAGACCCACGGATGGCTCGGCTACAGCTCGGATTTAAATAGGATTTCACTAATTGATTAAATCAGATAAGGGGTAACCTGATGAAAATACGTCTGTTAGATCGAGGCTAAATGATAGAGTGTACTTAGCGAGGCCGCTGTAAAGCGTTTCCGTATGCCATTGAAAACTTTACTTGATAATCGAGATATGTAGGTGGAGTTAACGCCTGTCAATCAAACGATCAGCGAAGGTGAATACACAATTCGCTACCATTTCTAGGCAAATATTACAACGATGATAACTATGTTCAGAATAAAGTAATTTGACTGAATTTTTCAATATATTCTTCTTTCATCATCTACTTTTGAACTGTTATAGCAAGAATGGCCAACTCTTTATAAAAATCTCCCATAATGTATCTTTAATTGACCTGTTCATAATATGATGTTATGTATAAATTTCCTAACTTGTTTTTTATGGTAACATCAGCAATGGCCAATATTGATTGAAGATTCTACTAACTTTAGTTAATGTCTAATCTCGAAAATTGATGAACAGGGCCTGTATTCAGTTAATTGCCTTGAACTTAGGCAGAGGGTCAATGGAACCGAATTTCGTAATTTTCGACTATCCCATGAATTGGACTGTTGACAATAAAATTAGAATAACAAAATTCAAGGATATCTTTAATATATTACACAATTATGTTGATACATGTATGACAATCTGCACATCTAAAGCTACATCGGGCTCTTCCTTTCTAGAAAGAGTAATGGTAGTCTCGGACTGCATAAAACTGGTACCAGATGAATTGAAACCTGATGCGGGCCTTTAATTTTATTGAAAGTGGTTTTTTTTTTATCATCATGCAGAACCCTTACCAATGTATTTTTATTCTTATTTGACACTTGGACTAATATGTTTAAATTAGTTTTAGTTTTATTTTGTGAGGTTCACAGCCTATTAATTTATCCAGATGGTTTGGTGTGTACCAGAATTTTATTTTTTACATCTTGTTTTTTACATTTTTATATAGTTTATTGACAATAATTGTGTCAGATTTCAAAATATTTATTCTACACTTTTTACTATTTATATTTTACTTTTTTTATATACATGTAGAGTCTGGGTATAGACACATCATTTGTGGGAATTATAGTTGCTTTTAAGTGCACAATTTTGTAATATGATTTGAAATAGTTAATAATTATGTGTTCTACTATCTTCTCATCACTGCATGTGTAGTTTTATATTATGTTATAGTATTTTTTATTCAAAGTTTAACTAAATGCCGTGCTACAGACAATTACGCCCACAGATTCTGAAAATTGGGTCATACTGCACTCAAATGTTCAGAAGAGCTGTACAAGTAACAATAAGATAATTAAATATATCAATATCTATAAAACTGGAATCATTTGTAATATAATTGTATAATAGTTAAAATAAAATAAACTTCAGATGAAAGCGTTAATAAAGATGGTTAACATTCATACACTTTTAAAAATAAATGTGTGAAGGATTCAACTGAGGGACTGCTTGTAATAGCAATTGGGAGTTTATTCCAAGTACACTAAGGATAGACAGGGGCAATATTATTAAAACATTTGTATGTAAATAATAAAATCTTAAAATCTATGCATAAATAATAGGTGAACATTTATGTCATAGAGTGCAAGTGTAATATGTTCATGTGTTTTAGTAACAGTTATATGGCAGACTGCAAAATTTTACACTCTCTGATATTTACCAATAAGTTTAGGAGTAGGGCAGCTAAAAGTGAATTCAAATTGTCAAGTTTTGAGGTAAGATAAATGCGTGCATGTGTTTTGGTAGCAGGGGGTTCACCTTTTGTCAAATGTGAAAACTTTTAAAGTCTCAATGCTGGATAGAAAATGATTAAAAATGTGAAAGTAAATACATTGCATGACAAAGCAAAATATCAAACTTCTAACCATCGAGTCTTTTGAAAGTTAGAGCCGATTAAATTTAATAATAAGTGTCCATGTTAAAAATATTGATATATTTTTTTTAAAAATGTGGCTACGTATCCGGAGCACGGCATCATGAAATCGTGTACTGATATTTTATTTGTGATTTTTGCTCAATGTTTTATATGTCCACATTTTATAAGTTAGTTGTTGTCCCTTGTTATGTACTTTTATTTCTTTCATTGTATTTATTGGATTTTCTTGTTTTATAAGATTATTAACCTTTTGATATTCAAAAGTACTATGTTAACAATTGCTCTTACAAATACATTTTTTATTGGGGGTAGGAAAACAAATCATCATGGATGTAACATTCATTTCCTGGCAACTTTAACTTAATATATGTGGCATTTTTTTCATCAGTTACACTTTAAAGCTGGGGACTATCAAAATGGGTCTGTCTGTCTGTCCATTACACTTTTGGGACACAATAACTCTCCTTCTAATAGAGCTAGAATGTTCAAACTTGATGTAGGTATTTATTAGGTGAATGCCTTGCTGGAGTATATTTTCTGCTTAGGCTAAGCAGAGATAAGCAATTTGATTGGTTGATCCTGTGGGACATGATAACTTTGGTGCTAATTAAGTGAGAGTGATGAAACATAGTTTCATTATATCAATACCTTGACTATTTCGATAATGAGCTTCATAACTTTTATTCTAATTGAGTGGTGAAACAGTGTTCGATTATGCATGTGTCATCTGATTATTTTGGGATTGTGACTTGTTTCTATAAAGTATAGACAACAAATTTTAATTTACATATGGACTTCATGGGTAATCTCTGTGTTGTCTGTTTTAGGTCAACATTTTTTTATAATTTCTTTATATTTTAATTTTTAATTTTTCATTCCCATATCCCTCTCCATTGGTTCACCCCTTCGCCTGTCAGTTCAAAATGCCTTGTTGACATCTAGAAAACAACAATATTATTATCCAATTAGGCGACAATATCTATCATCCAGTGGTTTTAAATTCATCATGTGATTTTATGTCCCTTTACAACAAAGTCTTGACACTCTGTAGACTGCAATTATCATCATTTCAATATTTATATAGGTTGTCTAGTTATACAAGAGAGAGACCTTTATTGATATCAACCATTCCCCATGATAACGAGATCCTGTCAGCACTATGAATGCCACAATTAGCATTCAGTCTTTTTGAATCTTAATTGTTGTAGGCCTAACATGAAGAAGCCTTCGGTTTTTATCAATATCTGACACAATCAGATTAATACACAGATATTATATCGTTTCGTTTTTTATAGTTCAAAATTTTGTTTTACTTGTCTTTACTACACCAGGATCCGGAAGAGTTGTTATATAACCCACGTTCTGGATGATGTGAGGGATTAGCCAATGAAACGGCCTATTACGTGAGTTCTTGGCGTGGGGTGCACTTAACTGTGCGTAACCCGCTAGAAACATCAACACTGATTGGTTAATCAAATGTATGATGTCTTAGGGTCAAAAGCCACTCGTATGACCTCTGATGCGACGTCCCGCTACAACTGGTCAGATCTTCATGTAGTAGAGACCATTGAAAGTATAAAAAAACGAAACGAAATATTTATTTGTACTTTAATCAAATTGTATCGGACATTTACCTTTTTTCTGTAAGAGTCCGCATTGAACTCTACATCTTATCCAATATTTATGAATGTATCTCATAATGAAACTGCAATGTTCCATTTGTGGGTGTACTTCATATTCTTGTGGGTAGGTGCTTTGTTGACGCACAACCTATGTTTAAATATTGAATCTATGCTTGTGGGGTGTGTTTCATTTCCTGGCAACCTACATTTAAATATTTTTATATATAAAAATCAGATATTTTATGAAAGATATGATAACACTAAAGGCAATAATTGTATGTAAATTAAACTGCATAATTTTTGTGTAGCTTGATAATAGTTTCTTTCATATTATAGATTAAAAAGTGTGTTTAAAATAATAAAAAAATTCACACAGCCTCCAAATTTGTTTTTTTTTTAGGTTGTCCTATATCCCTGTTAGTACTTTAGTCTTAGTTTTAACAACCCTAAACTAAGTTTGCTAACCGTCTGTATTCTGGTTTGCCCATCCAAAAGGGGAAATCAGTTGACTATTATATTAAAATAGGCTTATCTTTCAGCCACGTTGCTTCTAATTTAGATAGAATGGTTAAACTTGTGTAGGTGTTCGTTAAATGAACTTGGTCCTGAAATGACCTAGTTTGTCTTGAATGGGCTTTAAACCCCATTTCTTTCTCTTTCTCGTTAGATGAATGTCTTAATTGACCGAGTTCGAGTCTTCGGAACCTGCAACTTTGATTCTAATTGAGTGGCCGGATGGTCAATGTGTGCGCTTTAGATCATAAGGTCTGTTATTGAATCCAGTGGCCTAGTTTGTATCCCAAACTTGTACGTGACACGGGGTATGTCACCGCGGTACCTAACCTCGTGGGTTTTATCAAGGTTCCTCCCACTGCAAAATACCCCTTTATTCAAATAAATATGTATATTATACTCCTGAAATGACCCAGTTTGTGTTGAGTGGAGGTTACCCCCCCCCCCCCTCGGCGATTCATTATATATATAGACACCCACACACACCCATACACATATCACATACACCCACCCCTACAGACACGACTGGACATTTTCTTATATGATTAATATATAATTTGTTGTTTTGGAGCTTAAATTAATATTTCTAATTTCGTTCGAGCTTTCCTGCCTTTATTCTTTCATTAACCTATCATCTAATATCTTCCACTTCCATATTCCTTATTTTCAATCAGCTTTAGGTTCCAGAATCATAAAGTAAGAGCTCGCGCGCTTGAAGGTTGCCAGGGTAACAGCAGGCAGCCTCGCATCGATTTGATGAGAACACGAGAAGTACTCTGTTATTTTTATATCAAAATTAAGATGTCAGACTTGCCTAGTGAAAATTAACTATTGAAGTAAGTATTAGAATTCTGCCTGAACAGTATTATATTTCCACAAATTTTCCTGTCTTCAATGTGTCGTTAGTTAATAATTATGCCACAAATTGTATGGTTTGCTAGGTACAATGCATGCCATAATATACAGAGATGGTAAACACACGCTGCTATTTATTAGAACAAGATTGTGTTCTATTCAACCTTATTCGAGTCTGTGGTTTTTTTTTTTAATTTTTTTAAAGTCATTTCATGTTGACAGTTTCAAAGTTCTATAATGATATCTAAAGGTTTATTTTAGCATGAAAATTCATAACACGGTAACGTCTATCACGGATGTACTGTCTCTCTGTTGTTATTGAACGTTTGGCCAAATCTAGAGATACATGAATGTATTTGGCTTGGAATTGTTAACTTCAAGGTCGTTTCAAGGGTAAATATGTAGCTTCTATGGAACTTTAATGCTGGTATCTAGCAAGATTTGATATGGTATATGTGTTTTTCATAAAAATGAGGTAAACATATGAAATAGGGGGTATCAGAAAATGTAGAAAGAATACACAAAGGGAAGGTGGTCACATGCCTGTAGATCAACTCCAGTATCGTGGCCAATTTTGTTAATAAGGACGATTATTGAACTTTGAAGCACATATAAACGTTTTTAATACTCGATTCTAAATCTAGCTTATTTATTTAATACTTCCTTATAATTATTGTCATGGCTGTGTGTTCTATAGGCATATTGATTCTTATAATCATGTAAAGCATTATACGAACAGTTCGACCTATTTGGTCTTGTAATCGGTCGGTAGACGTTTAGAATCGGGTACAGAGGCAGTGCTCAGTATTTCATAGTAAATATAACAGTTTTTAGTGTTACAAATAATGCTATGAATGTCAGTGTATCATTTATTAAGCCTTGTCGAAAATAAAGGGAGAGAGAGAGAGATATGGGGATATTTCACAATTATTAAAAGATCCTGATTAACTCTCAACATTATTGTTTTGAATATATTCACCCCATAAATACCTTGCCCCGGTTTTACAAAGCCTTCTCAGACTTAAGAATTTACTCAAATTTCAATCACTGTTTATGAGAAATATCTTTATCCAGAAACAAAATACATATTAAGTCTGGGAATGTTTTGTGAAACCGGGGCCTGATCCTTTAATGGGCCTAAACATTAATCATTTGCGAAAGTATCTCCTCCAAAAACCTGTCTCTGATCACGAACCCAGACTTAAATTACCGAAATTAATAACTCACAGCCACCCCACCCCTGTTAACTTTTTATCTGCTGTACGAGTTTATGTTATGGCTTGTCTGTTCTCCTGCACAATTCTACTTTTGCGCTTGTATGATCTTAAAACAGGCTTCCATGCTAATAAGAATGTATTATTTTCTTTTCTATTTGGAAAACTTTTGCGAAGCACCCTTTAAAAAAACAGTACTTTTATAGTATTTTACAAAGCAGGTATATTTATACAAATACACACATAATATATCATATTACCTACTCAAAGGTTTCATAATAGTAACACATATGGTTATTCACATAATTAATATGTACAAAAAAAGTTTAAAACATAGCTAAAATTTAAACAAATAATACACACCCTGTTAATATATATGGCAGTGAATCGAGGTAAACTATCTAGAATGACATGCTGGTATATATAAGCTTATATATACATGGAAACAAAGCCGCATCAAAGCACCCCACCCCCACCCTATTATTTTCTGATATTTCCATATACGCAATACAAATCATTTTATAGTGTTTGTTTTGCGGGCCAAATAATAGACTCACTGCATTATCACATGCATATAATCATGCTTTTAGGCAATTATTTTTTATAGACTTTAAATCAAAATATTAACACTAAAAGTAAAGAAAGACCAAATGATAACCTTACTATTAGCTATATTGTCTATATACTTTAAGAAATAAATTCTGTATATCCTTAAAATAAAATTTGAAAAAGAAGTAGAATTTAGTATCACTATTCGGTGATAATAGCCCCTCAAAAATATGTTAATAGCTAAAATTTATTTTTTAGATTGTAAGAAAAACTGTTTTGTTTGTAACATTATTATATATATCGTATACGTGTATAAATAAATTAAAAAATTATGTTTTTAGTGAATTCATTAAATATGTAGGAAAATTCAGTTAATATTTTCTATAAAATTCAGACCTTTATAAATGGTCTCAGCATTTTGCCAATTTCAAATGTGCTACCGGTATTTTAAAAAGATATGTATGCACACTGAAATTTCAAGGTAAACATATTTAAAAATCAACTGAATGGGTATCTGTTTCTAAGCCCTCTTTTAATATTGAAAACATTATCATATTCATTCAAATTCAGTTATATATAGTAAATACTTGAAAGTAGGCTCAATAGCTAAAATGTGTATAATGCTTCGTCATACTTTCAAGCCAGATATAGTGTGTTTAGATTTTTTATGCAAGTCAAATATTGGTTGTATTGACATTATAAAATTTCCATGAATGTAAGTCTAAATATCGGATAGTGACGCTGGTTTTTTTGCCTTCTAACAATATTTATTTAATCAGTATTACATAATCTAAAGATACATAATTACTGGATCTGAAAACTGTTAGGATTATGTTGAATATATTAATACCCCTTTAAACTCCTCAATTTCTTTATGAAGATGTAAATACCCCTTTAAACCCTGTACTTTCTTTTGTAGGCCTCTGAATATAAGATGAGCTCTACCCTGCTACAACCCTCCATGAATAAAAGACTTTATTGCAAGTCAAAAGACTTTACTGTCAGTAATTTCGGACGGAGGGCCTGGCAAGGACATTGTCAATTCGATTCGTTGGAGTACATGTAAAAGAATCCTTGACAGAAATCGAAATAGGAGTAGGTAATTACCCTGCTGTTTGGGCAGCCAAACCATTCAGAAAAATAGGAGATAAACCCTATCTGTTAAAAGATGTAGCCCCTATCGTGTTTGGAGAAGGAGGGGGGGGGGGATTCAGGAACACCACATTTGATATAAATCTGTTGAAAAACTGTAGCCTCTATTGCTTTTCAGAGGTTTTCAGGGGTTAACTCCGGAACAGAGTTTTGTGGAGCACTGATTATTGATGGAGTTCGTCCTCCCATGAACGTACAATCAGGGGTAATAATCCAGAAATTTAAGGTTCGACATGTGTCCAAGTTATTTGGGAAATAAACATATATTGTAAGCTTCATCTAAATTGGATAAAAATTGTGACCTGTAGAGTGTCCACAAACAAATGTGAACAATGGTAACAGCATGATACGAGTTGATTATTGGCTTGTCATGTGAATAAATGTCTAATTAATACTTTATATAACATATGTTCGTTAAAAAAGTATTAACATTAGTGTTACTTTGCTCTTATTTTTTGAAAAATTTTCACAAGTTGTTTTCCTTTATTTTGTTAATGTAGAATGGTAATGAACTGCTCTTTTCATTTTCTTTGTTTTATTTGTTTCGTTTGAATTTGATTTATCTGTTTAGTTTTTGATTGTTTAATTTTTGTTAATGAAGTTGATTCTTTTAAACTTCGTTTTTTATTTTTGAACTCTACTTGGTGTAGGTGTTCATCAGGTAATACCTCGACTGAGTTCAATATAGAGATTAGCCGGTTGATTTATTGGATATAAACCTTTGAATAATAGCGCCTAACAGGCAGCTGTGTTTAATTGTGTTTAATTATGTTCTCCTGATTTTGATTGTTTCTGTGTGTTTGAAGTAAATGTTTGTGATATGTGCTTAGAAACACTTCATGTGTAATGAAGCGCTATATAAATCGAACAATAATAATAATAATAATAATATACGTAACTTTCAATAATATATTTCATTCAATTTTGTTTAAGGCAATAATGCATCAATATAAACAATATGTAATTATAAAAGTGTAGATTATGAAACATTTCTGAATAAAATAGTATTCTAATGCTGGAAAGCCAATCAGACCATGGCCCTCTTATCAATCGCCAACACGACCTTTAGATCCAAAATTTGTAAAAATCAAATTACCTGGGTGTTAAGGGTCAAATTAACCATAAAGAACAGTTTATAGGTGATAATTAACATTAAATTTACAATATCCAATTTCAAAACTGAAAAGCCAAGAGTTACCAAACTTAATTTATATTTTTGTTTATTGACTGATATAGACGTTTGACTTTTATCGTTACGTCTATGAAAATGTTAGCTTATATAATTTGTTATCTTAGCAAGTGACAGCTTAACCAACCGAAATATGAAATAACATGAATGTAACTGTAAGTAGTGTAAGTGGTAAATGATGAATGAAGGTTTCAAATGGTGGGTAATTTCTTGGTCCTTGAAAAGGATCGGTCAAATAATATTAAAGGCATCGAGAGTACGATATAGTTACTGATATTATGATGTTTTGGAATCTTTATTACTTGTGTTGGAACAAAAACACTTATAGTTAAGACCAATATATAATATATTATTTTATTGTATTTATCAAAGAGAAAGGTAAGGCTAAAGTCTAAAAGAAATACGGAATGAAGAAAGTCTGTAGGTTGAACCACAGGTTCCTCCTCGGTTAGATGATCTGGGCCAAACAAAAAGGGGGGGGGGGGAAGGTAGAATACTCATTTATTTGGTATTTCTTAAACCAGATTTAGGTAATTGTGGATAAGAAAGAGAATAAGGAAATTTAAGATTTTTTTTTTAAAATTATATTTATATTTAGGAAAAGAAAAAGAATAATGGAATTAAGAATAAAGACTCTTTTTTTTTGTTTATATTTATGGCAATTGTGAATATTACCGGGTAGCATAAGGATATTAAAAAGAGTAGGAAATTAAGAATATTTATAGTTATGGTAATTGTGGATATTACCAAGTAAAATAAGGATAAGAAAAAGAATAAGGAAATTATGTTAATTGTAGATATTACCGGGGAATATAAGGATAAATAAATAAATAAAAAGTTTTTTGTTTATTTATGTAATTGTGGATAGGGTAATTAA